GACTTTGCTTTCTGAATCCTCAGGCAGGCTCTAATAAATCATAAATAATATAACACCATACACGTCTGTTCCCTGTCTTGCTTGAATGAAGCCTGTGTGTGGCCTTCCAGGAAGGCTCAAGTGGAGAAGCGCTGGATGGACTGGAAGGTGTGAGATAGAGGCTCCACACAAAAGGAATAGCGATCTCAGCAGACAGGAGGGGCAAGGAAGTTGTGTTTTGGGGAGGACACTGAATAAAGAAAGCTGAAATACTAAACTGGCTAACAGGGTTATCATATCAATACTGATGTGGTTTTTTTTTATAGTTTATACAATTCAAGATTTATGTAAGTCCAAGATACTTAAGTTATTCCTAAATTGAACAATGCTAAAGACAGTCTGTAAAAGAGTCAAACACACCACTGCCGACTGACCCCTCAAACTGCAATTGATGTGTTCTTTTTTATTTTAAAATTTTCGTTCATTTTACATACCAACCACAATTCCCTCTCCCTCCCCTCCTCCTGCTCCCCTGCTAACTTCCCACCTCAGCCCACCCCTATCCACTCCTCAGAAAGGGTAAAGCCTCCTGTGGAGACTCAACAAATCCTGGCACACTTAGTTGAGGCAGGACCAAGCCCTTCCCCCTGATTCAAGACTGAGCAAGGCATCTCACCATAGTGAATTGGGTTCCAAAACGCCAGTTCATGAACCAGGTCCTGGTCTCACTGCTAGGGGACTCCCAAATAGAGCACACTGCCGAGGCCATGAGCATCCTGGAGCAGCTCACCGGTGGCTGCTGTCTGTAGGATGCAATAATGGTAGGAACATTTCACAGTCCTGATTTCCGTAGTGGCAATGGAACCATGAGGTCCCAGAATAACAGAGACCAGGTGGAAGCACAGAACTGCTGGAACCAGATAAAGTAATTTCCTTAGAGAGACAGCTGGAGAGCTTCTCTGTGGATGTCTGTGGAGACAGCCAATGGGATAAAATGTTCCTATAGTCAGCACAGTGGGGCAGACCGTAGGCTACTGTTCATATATCATCAAAAGAATGCTGGAAACAGATGGGCCAAGAATTTTTCCAATTATTCCTCATCAATAAAAACTTGGGAGTCAGATATCGGGTTAGGAACCTAAATGATCAGAGAAGCAGCCAAGAAGCAACCAGTGCCCTATCTCTTTCATTCCTCTGTCCAAAAAGGGTGGAGCCTTTCTCTCGGTTCCTTCCTACTTCTTCCAGTGTCTCTCTATATCCTCAGTCCTCCAAACTCTATTGCTAATTTTGGTCAGCTAGTAGCTAGCTAGGCCTTGTGTTTCAAAGTAAACTTAATGTCATTCTTGGGAGTGTCAGAGTGTGATCAAAACATCCCACAACAGATGGACACATGGTGGAAGTCAGCTATCCCAATAAAAAGTTTAGATCCTTCTCATTATTTCCAATTTAAGCTGCTTGTAAATGGGACTCAAAACCCATCAAAGGAATGAGGTTCATTTCTCAGTAGAAGAAACCTTGTAAACATACATACAGTGGATCACAGTTCTTCCCCCAAAGGAATATCAGAACATCTATTCACATTGTCTCCTGCCAGGGAAAGAACATATGACTCTTTCAGGGGATGCTGGACACAGCATCTGAGCTGATCTGAATTTTGGGAACCCAAGGATCCATCACTGTCTCCTGAGAGAGGAAGGCTATGAAGAGGTAAGGTAATGTCCCTGTCACAATGAGTACTGGATCTCCAGAGACACCCTGCCACCCTTTCCCCTGTTCCCAGATGTATGATCAGGCTAGATACAGCAGTTAGTTGAGATGGCATCTGTGAATTGACAAAGACTGTCTCAGAAGGACCAAGCAGAAGGCATGTTGGACACTGAGATTTCCCATGGGACAAACAGTGGAAAGCAATATCCCAGCACAGCCCAGGAATGACAGGAATGCCGCTCGCAAGGATACAAAGATGCAAGGTTTGTTATCCCCATTGCACCTCCATCTCTTTAGCTGTTCACAGTCTGCAGGAGTTAACATAAGGTGAAGCCCCAATTGTAGTAGTATCAGATGTACTGTCTCTTTGCTGTGTGGATGGGTGCTTTGCTCTTGTATATGTGTGTGCACCACAGTCACAGCTGGTGCCCAAGGAAACCAAATGAGGGTGTTAGAACCTAGAACTGGAGTTAGAGATAACTGTGAGCTGCCATGTTGGTGCTGAGAATCATAGCCAGGGCCTTTGGAAGAGCACTCAATTGTCTTAATCTCTAAGCTATCTCCCCAGATACATGATCTTTACTCTCTCTCTCTCTGTATATGCATACATACATACATACATACATACATACATACATACATGTGTGTATTATGCATATACTATATACATACATACTATATACATACACATATTATACATCCTGGGAAGTGATATGCAGCTATTAATATAAAAATGTACTTTTAAATTTCCATTCAGAAAGTAGTAGATAAAAAAGAGTTGACAGTTGCATGGATTGGACAACAGTGTACATGTATAGTCCTGGTTTCTGTTAAAATATAGTCTGTCTGCTAGGCATGCATGTGCTTGCCTTTAATCCCAGAACCCAGGTGGAAGAGGCAGGTGGATCCCTGTGTGTTCAAGGCCAGGCTGTTTGTTCTACATACAGAGTTCCAGTATAACCAGAGGTAGTTACATAATGGAGAGATTCCCCCCTCCCCCGTCTATGTCTCTGTCTGTGTCTCTGTCTCTCTCTCTCTCTCTCTCACACACACACACATTTTCTCTCTCTTTTTATGTCTTTACCTGGAAGCTATGGTGGGTACTTGTAGCCTTCACTCAGCACTGGATTGATTTCTGGGTGTGGGAGTCACAGGCCATAGATAATATGTCTAGGGAATCCAGAGAGCTCTCCATTCCTCTGGGAGAAGCTATGTGGACTCAAGAAGACTCTGAATGTAGAGGGCGGTAAAGATCACCCCAAGGGAGGCTGTAGTGTATGAAATAGGGGTGCACGGTACTTTCTGATGGTCTCACATAAAACACTTCTTCAAGCCCTATGCTTTCTCTTAAAATTTCATTCCATCCATCTTGATTCTGTTTAATCTTCTGAAGTGTCTTAAATCACAATTCAATGAGAACTCTGTGCTTGAGGAGACTCCAGGTCACCCCACAAGACTGCAGGGTGAGGGACACAATGATTTGACTTCCCGTGAAATAGGGTCTCCCTGGTGCTCACAAGCAGAATGTAGGTCTCCAGGAAGAAAATGGGCTTTTCCAGGAGGTGTGGCTGACCCAGATTCACTGTCCCTCCCAGACAATTTGAACCACGAGTCTCTGTATAGACCAAGAGCTCATTTATGCTACTGGATTGTCAATAATTAAGATTATATCAAAACTCAGAACTTCTACTGACAGTCCCAAGTGTTTCACAGCTCTTGAAAAGGATTTTTGGTTTCTATCAATGGCAGTAGAATCCAGGTCTAAGGAGACTACTACCTGCAAAAGCCACTTGGGGAGGGGGGCTTGTATTTTTAGCTAGAGCCTACTCTGGCCAGAAAGTGGTTACTGCTCTCCGACAGTAAGAGCACTGGCTACTCTACCAGTGAAGGGAACAGCTCCCCATTATGGCAGGCAAAAAAGGCAAACAACAGCCTGTATTGTCTGTGCCTGGGGAAGTGGAGGGCCTGCTTCGTGGCAAGGAACTAATCAGAAGTTAGCTGGTGGCGCTATGCTTTATGGCTCTGGGTGTGCTTTACGGACAAGCGCACAGCAATGACGCACAGAGCATAGCAACCACCCTGAGAGGGCCTATGGGCCATAACAACCAGTTGACCAATCAACACAGGGCAAGCCCTCCAAGCCTGGAGGCACACCAATCCTGAGCCTGTTCGTACCCCTAGAAATTCCCCTTACGCTGCCCTATAAGATCTCTATGCAGACTCTTCGAGCTGTCTTTCCTAGCCATCTGCCATGGTAGGTGGATGAAAGACCCGAGCTAACATGGGGTTAGCTCGTTAAACTGCTATAATAAAGCCTCGTGCAGTTTGCATCAAGCTTTCGACTCCGCCTGGTGATTGGGGTGACCATGGTCCTGGGCTGAGATCCTGGAGGCCTGTGCTTCAGGGGGTCTTTCACCAGAGGACTCAGGTTCAATTCCCAGCACTACGTTATGGCTTATAACTGTCTGCAAGTTCAGTTCCAGGGTATCTGATACCCTCATAAAGACATAAATGCTGGCAAAACACAAATGCACAGAAAATAAAAAGGAATAAAATCATTGTTTAAAATAGAAAAGAAAAGCTGGGCAGTGATGGCTCATGCCTTTATTTCCAGTGTAAGACCCCTGGAAGCTCAGACCTCCAGGATCTCAGCCCAGGATCACGGCCACCCCAATCACCATGCAGAGGCGGAAACTTGATGCAAACAGCACGAGGCTTTATTACAGCTGTTTAAGGAGCTAACCCCATGTTAGCTCGGGTCTTTCATCTACCCACCATGGCAGATAGCTAGGAAAGACAGCTCCAAGAGTCTGCATAGAGATCTTATAGGGCAGC